GTTTTTTTTTTTTTTTTTGACCTTGAAAATGCTTTCATCACCGCAACATACTTTTTGGGCCTAAAAACAAATGGCCATAAATTTTGTGTTAACATTGAAAAAATTGTTTCTCATATTTCTTATTTGTTGTTATTTTTCGTATTTTTGGTTGGCATCACGACTCAATCGTACCTTCGAAATTAATTTCGACATATTTTCTTTGACATTTTTATTTTAGTTTTTTTTTTTTACAAATTTATTTGTTTACAAAGAAAATGCCGCCGAGTTCGATTATTTATTTATTGTGAAAACTATTTCAAGATCGATGACAAGACGCACAGCATGAATGACAGACAGTCACTGCCACTGAGTGAACGAACGAACGATCGATCGACCACATCATCTAACCATAGGTTAACAACAACAGCGACGACGATAAAAACAACAACAACATATATGTTCTAGTTCTCGAAAATCGAAGGTCAACATCTTTAAAAAAATCGAACAGTTTGTATTTCAGTTTAGTGTTTTTATATCACCTACACATAGACGTAGATATGTTTGTGCGCCTAGAGACCATAATTGGGTAGAGGGTGGGCATAGTTGGTCTATCACATGGTATGTCACTGCTTCCAAATTTTATATCTCTACATAGGGTTCTGAATGAACTTCTCTCTATGGAAGACCTCTCGAAGGACTTTGAGGAGGCCCTCTTTCCATAGAAGACGTCCAAGAGGTCCTCTACTCATGTAGCATCTCCGAATGAGGTATGACTAAGGACCCTGAAGCATTTTCTATCTATGGAAGACCTCCTAAAAGTCTGTGTATGTATAACCACCTGATGGACTACTAAGCTCAGAAGAAATAGGAAAGATAGACAATTGCTTCCAATTATATAAAGGATTTTCATATGATGAATGGTCCTGGAGACATCTTCACGTACCGAAGATCTCGAAGAGGTTTTCTATTTTTAGAAGACTTCCAGAAATGCTTCAACAATCTACAGAAGAAATCTGGAAGCTGTCCTGTCAAGTGGAGACCTTCGGAATGCCCTTCAATTCCAGGGAAGCACAATAAAATACCTCTAGAACTGAAGAACTTCGATGAGGTCCACTAAAGTCTCATCAAAGTCCTGGGGAAAATCTTTTAGAGAGAGGAGTTCCTTCAGATAATGCACCCTTTTAGAGTAGCCATCACGTGATACGTGACATTCACGTCCTGATTGACAGCTATGCCTTAAAGATATAGGAAAGATAGAGAAAGGACCTTCATCCGAAGAGTGGTCCTGGAGGAAACATCATCTACCGAAAATCTCTGATAGGTTTTCTATTTTAAGAATACTTCCAGATCCAGATCAATCTAAAAAAGAAATCTGGAAGCTGTCCTAACCTTTAGAATGTCCTTTTTTCCCGAAGGCTTCGAGTAGTTTTTCCATCAACGAAACACCTCAAGAAGGACCATTTTTATACAAGCCCATAAAAGACTCCTAGTACTGCTGATATAGGGTACATGATCGGGTCTACTGCTGAATTTAGTATCTTTAGAAGGATTCTGAAGGAGCTCCTGTCTTTTCGAAGGACTTCGATGAAGTCCACTAAAGTCTCATCGAAGTCCTTCGGAAAGTCTTCCTTAGACATGTGTTCCTTCTGAAACCTTTTACAGTTACTAAATTTTAAAGCAGATGCGTTGAATCAAATTTTGAATCAGGTACGTGAGGTACCCTCTCAGAGAAGACGTTCAAGATGACACTTATCACTTTCCGATTGACTGCTGTGCTTAGAAAATATAGGAAAAATAGAGAAAGGATTTCAATTATATAAAGGACGGACGTTCATCTGAAGATTGATCCTGGAGGAAACAGCATCTACCGAAGGTGTCTAATAGGTATTCTATTTTTAAAAAATCACTAAAAATTCTTCTATCTGCAGAGGAAATCTGGAAGCGGACCTGTCTAGCAAAGTCCTTCAAAATATCCTTTATGTACAGAAGACCTCGAGACGTTCTTCCACCTCTAGATTCACTATTTTTATACAAGCCTATAGAAGACCCCTAGTACTGCTGATATAGGGTACATCATCGGGTCTGCTTCAAAATTTAATATCTATAAAAGGTTTCTGAAAGGACTGCTGTCTATTGAAGACTTTCCAAAGGACTTCGATGAGGTCCTTTATTTAGAGAAGACGTCTAAGAGGTCACGTAGCACCCCCTGAAAGGTTGCTATGCTTAGAAGATATTCAAAAGATAGAGAAAGACTTTCAGTTATACACAAGCAATTCTTCCTGAAAATGGTCCTGGAGAAACCATCCTTTACCGATGATCTCTAATAGGTTTCCTAATTGTAAAAGGCGTCTAAAAATGATTCTATCTACAGACATCAAATTCTTTCAAGACATCTGGAAGCTTTCCTCTCTAGTGAAGACCTTCAAAATATCCTTTATTACCAGAAGACCTCAGGAAGTTCTGTGGTTTTTTTTTCATCAACAAAATGCCAGTACTTGTACAAGCCCAAGTACTGCTGATATAGGGTACATCATCTGGTCTACTTCAAAATTTAAAATCTATAGAAGGGTTCCGAAGGAACTCCCTTTGGAAGACCTTCCTAAGGACTTCGATTAAGTCCACTATTTAGACTAGACGTCCAAGAGGTCAGGTATTACATCCTGAAAGATTGCTATACTCTGAAGATATGCAAAATATAGAGAAAGGTTTCTAGTTATATGCCACCTCCGGGAAGACCTGTACTTTGAGAATGGTCCTGGAGGAATCTTCATTTTCTGAATACCTCTAAATGTTTTTTCTATTTTTAGAAGACCTCTAGAAATTCTTTTATCTACAGAAAATATTTTGAAGCTTTCCTATCGATTGAATACCTCCCAAAGTTCCTATATTTCCAGAAGACCTTAACAAGTTATTTTATCTACAAATTTTTTCTTGGAAGCTCTTAAAAGGCCTCCTATCTATAGAAGATTTCTGAAAGTGTAGGGTACAACTCGACAAGATTTTATTTCAATTTATATTTTATTCCTCCCATACCAAAGCCAAAACGTGAAGGTATTTTATTTTTAATTATTTTTTTTTTTAATTTTTCGTACGTTTCATAATTTATGACTGCTGCTACTGTTGTTGTTATTTTTGTATCGTTTTCTTGCCAATCTCGTTTCGGGGTTTCTTCAAATTCAAAACTAGAAAAAAATCACAACATAATTTGTCGCCACGGCAATTTTTCTAACATTTATTTGCCATTAAAATATTTCAATTTGAGTTCTACACCGCCAGACCGTCGGTCAGACCGACCGCTAGTGTTCGTCATCATTTGTCTGGGCGTTTTTCATTCGCGTAAAGGCATAGAAAAAGATCTTTGTGACACCCAAAGAGCCGTAGACCCGAAACACACACAAAATTGCCATTAAAGAGTATTGGACTTTGATGTTGAAAATTCAATTAAATTTTGAATTTTGAAATTTTTTCTTTAAATTAAAATTTTAAAGAGGATTCTTTGGAAAAAAATACATACCCGCAGGACTGCCTGCTTTTTTCCATAAGAAAAAAGTTGCAGACCCCCAGGACTGCTGCTGGCTTTTTTCCATAGGAAAAAAGTTGCAGAACCCCAGGACTGGTGCTGGCTTTTTTCCATAGGAAAACAGTTGCAGAACTCCAGGACTACTACTGGCTTTTTTCCATAGGAAAAAAATTTTTTCATAGGAAAAAAGTTGCAGAACCCCAGGACTGCTGCTGGATTTTTTTTCAATCGGAAAAAAGTTGCAGAACCCCAGGTCTGCTGCTGGCTTTTTTCATAGGAAAAAAGTTTCAGACCCCCACGACTTCTAAAAAAAGTTGCAGACTCCCAGGACTGCTGCTGGCTTTTTTCCATAGGAAAAAAGGACTGCTGCTGGTTTTTTTCCATAGAAAAAAAGTTGCAGAAGCCCAGGACTGCTGCCGTCTTTTTTCCATAGGAAAAAAGTTGCAGACCTCCAGGACTGCTGGCCTTTTCCCATAGGAAAAAAGTTGCAGACCCCCAGGACTGCAGCTGGCTTTTTCCATAGGAAAAAAGTTGCAGACCCCCAGGACTGCAACTGGCTTTTTTCCATAGGAAAACAGTTGCAGACCCCCTGGACTGCTGGCTTTTTTGCATAGGAAAAAAGTTGCAGACCCTTAGGACTGCTGCTGGCTTTTTTGCATAGGAAAAAAGTTGCAGACCACCAGGACTGCTGGCTTTTTTCCATAGGAAAAAAGTTGCAGACCCCCAGGACTGCTGGCTTTTTTCCATAGGAAAAAAGTTGCAGACCCCCAGGACTGCTGGCTTTTTTCCATAGGAAAAAAGTTGCAGACCCCCAGGACTGCTGGCTTTTTTCCATAGGAAAAAAGTTGCAGACCCCCAGGACTGCTGGCTTTTTTCCATAGGAAAAAAGTTGCAGACCCCCAGGACTGCTGGCTTTTTTCCATAGGAAAAAAGTTGCAGACCCCCAGGACTGCTGGCTTTTTTCCATAGGAAAAAAGTTGCAGACCCCAGGACTGCTGGCTTTTTTCCATAGGAAAAAAGTTGCAGACCCCCAGGACTGCTGGCTTTTTTCCATAGGAAAAAAGTTGCAGACCCCCAGGACTGCTGGCTTTTTTCCATAGGAAAAAAGTTGCAGACCCCCAGGACTGCTGGCTTTTTTCCATAGGAAAAAAGTTGCCGACCACCAGAACTGCTGGCTTTTTTCCATAGGAACTACCTGGGCCCTAAGTCTGTTGGGTTTTCTGCAGGAAAAATTACAGGCTTTTTCGGTAGGTTTTTTTCTCGACAGAAAATAATTTGAGGCCTCCTATTAAAAATATTTAAAAAATATAAGTTTCCATTTTATGCTAATCGCGTGCCCATTTCGGGGGTCTAATTTCTAAAATAAATAGAAAACTATTGTACAAATAGAAAAGCGTATAACACATTATTTTGATTTCAAACCCCCTTCTTCTCCGAAAAAAATATCATTCAACATCCAAATTACTTGTATCAATAAATTTGAAAATTCCGCACTACCTACCGTTTCAAATGATCTCGCTTGTTATCCTCGCGCACAACAACTTGCGTTTCTTGGGCTATTTGTCCAAAACAGACGTTGTTGGTCTCTCGTACCATTTTCGTTTGTGAAACTTCATGGAGGCGAATTATTTTTTAAATGGGCGCACTCCAAACCCATTCAGCTGAAATAAAATGGTTATCCTTTTTTCTTGCAATGGGGGAGGGGGCGGGGTGTATCCTTTATATTTGTGTTGTTGTGAATATCAGCGATACAGCGGCTTTGGCATTAAATCGTTAGAGATCGATTTTTTTTCTAATTTCTCTGTTGGCGATTTTATTCAGAACTTTTTTTATTTTTCTTTTGCACTAATTGCATTTATTTGCAATTTTTTTAACTTTTATTTTATATTTATTTTTATATATTTCTTATATATTTTTTGCATTGATTTTTCTAATTATGGAAATATTAACACTTTTTTTCTTGCCATGTAGAGCGATTTTTATTTTCTTTTCATCGGCAATGATTTTCGATCTGAAAAGAGAAGATAATTAAATTGTGAAAATTAGTAGGTATTTAAAAAAATAATATTTTTATAAAAAAAATCTAAAAGGGGCAATATTATAAGACGGATAGGCAGCCGTTGAATATTTGATAAAATCTAATAAAATATTTTCAAAGAAATCACAATATTTGATAATCTTTGAAAATCAACCAAAATAAATAAGAGGTCTGCTAGCGTTTAAGAACTGATTTTAAAAAATTCCATAATGTCGGAAAAACTTTGAAAAACTATAGATTAAAAAAAATTCCATATTCACACCAGACCTTGGGTTAATAAAAATATTGTAATGTGTATAATTTGAAGAGAACCGGATGCTTATTTCGGTTTTTATGATCGTTTTTTATACCCTCCACCATAGTATGGAGGGTATATTAAGTTTGTCATTCCGTTTGTAACACCTCGAAGTACACATTTTAGACCCCACACAGTATATATATTCTTGACCAGCATAAAATTCTGTGTCGATTTAACAATTTCCGTCCGTTTATCCGTCTGTGGAAATCACTCTAGCTTCCGAACGAATTGAAGTAGATTGATAAAATTTTACCCAAATGTATGTTATGTATGCAGGACTTTTGGTATTGAAAATGGACCATGTAGGTCCACGTCTTCGTATAGCCCCCATATAACGGTACCTCCCGATATCCGGTATTTTGATGATTTTAGCGACATTATTCGGCGGAATTGTTTTAAATTTGATATTTGAAGTTCCAAAGGGATATTACAGCCTAAAACAGAAAATTTACTGTGCAGGTCCACGTCTTCATATAGCCCCCATATAACGGTACCTCCCGATATTCGGTATTTTAATGATTTTAGCGACCTTTTTCACCCGAATTGTTTCAAATTTGGTATTTGAAGTTCGTAATTAATATTAAAGCCTATGACAAAAAATTGTCTGTGTAGGTCCACGTTTTGGTATAGCCCCCATATAATGGTATCTCCCGATATTTGGTATTTTGATGATTTTAGCGACCTTTTTCACCGGAATTGTTTCAAATTTGATATTTGAAGTTCGTGATGGATACGACAGCCTATGACAGAAAATTGTCTATGCAGGTCCACGTCTTCGTATAGCCCCCATATAACGGTACCTCCCAATATTTTCAAAATACATTTTTGATATCCACAAACTCTGATGACTATTTAAAAAATATTTAAAAAAAACATCAGCTAGGTCTTATAGCCTTTCACAAATTCTTGAGCTTCGTGTGGCCAGCTAGTCATTTAAAAATATATATTTTATTTTTTTAATAATCATTTTCTATTTTATTCTATAATTTTCTTAACTTTATCTCCAGTTATTCGATACGGCCAAAATGTGCCTCATCGAAGTAACGCTAGGTTTCTTTGGACCAAATCCGTTCAGGACATTTGGAGTCGATTTGGCTGTGCCTGTCCGTCTGTTCTTTCTGAAGTCTTGAATTTTTTTGGCTTTCTTGGTCCTATATTTTTTGTTTCGCGTGTGGAAGTTTTTAACTGAGTCTCCTCTCACTATTTTCTTTCGTGTGACCCGAGTCATTTTTATTTGGAAATTTGGCGTGGGTGCAGAATCACTGAAAATGAAGCAAAAGTTCGCTCTAAGAGTGAAAAAGAGCGCTGATTTGTGAGAGCGTGAGTGGAACAGCAAACAAGGTTTGATTCGAACTGATATTCGAGCTACATCGAAAAATTGACTATGCTTGATATTCTCCAGGAGAGCTCCCGCTCGAATTCGAATGAGTTTCACACTCTGTTCAAATTCCTTCAAGGAATCTACCTAAACTATTCAAAAAATTTTATTTTCAGAATATTTTGCGAAAATGTTGCCCTTGAAAATCTGACCATTTAACACCTTTTAAGGATGAATATATCTCTATAGTCAGGTCCGGAAAATATATCAATGGAAACGGATGGAAAATATTAAATTTCTGTCACTCTCTTTCCCAGCAGTTTTTATTTCCTTAGCTTTGCTCCCTCCCAATAATTCGCATTTTTTTTTTTGTAGATTTTCTCAAAAAAAAGAAAATTGTATATCTCCTACTATGTCTCGAAAGCTAGGATCCCTATATAATATTTTACCTTTCTGTCTCCCTCTGAAATCCGAATTCTCTCCCTCCGCTCTCTGAAAAATCCAGTTTTGATATCAAGAAATTTCCGTTTTCAATTTTTCGTCAATGATTTTATTTATTTTTTTTTTCAAAAAAAAAAAAATAAATATATATTTCCACATAGGAATTTTTTGGAGCAGCATGGCAATACAAAAAAATTATTCAATTCTGGGTTCCGATGTTGTTGTTGTTGTTGTATCTGTATTTTCTGAGCTACGTATTTGGGGGCCAGTAAATTTTTATTACCATTTATTGTCATCAACTTGCAAAAAAAAAACGAAGAAGAAAAAAATTAAAACCAAAATAAAACCAGTCAAGTCAGCCAAACTGACAGGCAGGCTGGCAGCAGCCAGGCTAGCTGAACTGGTGGTAACGTCAAAAATCCAACCATAACTGGCATGGAAGTCAAGCCACCGGTCCTGTCATGCCACCCTGCCTGGCCCGGTTGGCTAGGCCTTCTGTTGTTTTAATGGCTGGATGGTGGAGCTCGATGTTGATGATGATGACGATGATATTTTTGCAGCTACTGACTGACTGGCGCGCTAAACATTATATTTTGGTTTTTAAAATGGGAAGTATTGGTTGTTGGTGAAGAAACATTGGGGTTACACGATGAGCCAGCCAGTGAACAACAATACCATCATCATCGCCATCGTCGTCAGCAGCATTGGCAGAGCCATAAAAACCATTTTGGGTTCAAACTACACATTTATGGTTAAAAGCTGAACAAAAAAAAAAACAAATCAATGAACGAACGAAAAAAAAATACAGCAACATCGTCGTCGTCATCATAGATGGATGGTTGGACGGACGGCCAGGCCAAATGACGATGTCTGTGAGGTGTTGTTTTCAGCAGAGCCAGCCATACACTTAGCCGTTCCGTCGTTCGTTCCTATGCCTGCTGGTTTGATGGCTGGCTGACTGGCTGGTTGGTTTGCTGTGCTGTGCTGTCTGTCCTTTCCTCTGGCCGGCCATATGTATGGCAACAACGACAAATAACACACAACGGCAGCAGCAGCAACAACAACACAAATTGTATAAAAATTCTTTTTATAAACGTAAAACTGAAACGAAATTTGGCAACATGGCAGCCATAGTTAGTCGTTGTCGTCGTCGCTGTGCCGTCGTTGAATCAAGTCGAGGCTTATTGAGGCAAAATATCTTTGTGTGTGCATGATTGTTTGTGTATCGTTCGTTTTGGTTTGCTGTTTTCTATCTGTGTGTCCGTGTTTGTTGCGCTGTGTGTGTGTGTGCGCCAAATGAAATATGGCAACATTGCTTTATTTGCTGTTTTTATAATAATTATTGGATTTTTTAACCATAGCCAGTCAGCCAACCAACCAACCAAGCACTCACACATACCCAACCATCCGAGGCAAAAGAGAAGAGAGACGCCAAGAGTTGCCTTCGTTGCTGTGTTGTGTCGTCAAACACACAAGGAGTTCATGTGTACATGTGTGGGGTATCACCACCCAATCCCAAGCAAATGAGTGAGAGAGAAAGAGCGAAGAAAAATAAAACGGGTAATTTTGAATGTGTGAGATCACAACAATTGGAAGAGGGGAGAGCAGTAGGAAAAGAGAAGAGACATGGTTTGGCAAATACACAGAGACACACCATTCATGGCACGGTGGACTGGACGAATGAAGACGACGACAACGACAACGACGATGGGATGCCTTGGCATGTTTTTGTGAATTGAGGGAAGTTGTGTTGTGTTGATGTTGTTGGGCACAAAAGAGCGGCAGAGAGGTAGAGCATATGGGGTTGCTGTTTGGTTTGCAAACAGTATTCATGATGATGACGAACGAAGTTGACTACACACAAAAAACAGCAGCAGCAACAACAACAACATTATCATTGATGTTATGTTAAGAGGGTATTGTTGTAAAGCTGTTGTGTGTGCTGTTGTTCTCTGGTTGTTTGTTATTCCTTTATTATGATTATGTTTTTGTTTTTGTTTCGTATTTTCGTTGTCATCGTCGTTGTCGCCATCGACTTCTTTTATAAAAGAGGGTTCTGTTATTTGCACACACACAAACTCTCAAACTGTCTTTATTTGGGCAGTTAAAAGCAGAAGAAGCAAGAATTCGTTCATATTTCCTTCTTTTGTTTGTGGAGAAGAAAAAGGCAAAATTAAAAAAAAAAAAAAACAATTCAATAGAAACCCAGCCATCCAACCATCAACAACATCGTCATCGTCGTCAAAGACAACGACTTAACATAAAAATTTATGCAAGAATTTTCGTTGTTAAAAATAAAACAACAAAAGCCAGTCATTGCGGCATTTTTTCCGTGCTTTTTGCCAAATCCAAAACTCCAACAAAAACTGGATGGATGGATTTTTGTTTTGAAAATTTTGCCGCTGCTGCTGCTGCCGCTACTCAATGAAAATATTCTGGCTGGCTGACAGACAGACTGCCTCTACCTTAAACGCCAGCATTGCTTTGTTATTCCAAAATAGTCTCCACATTTCAAGTTGTTTGGTTAGGTCCCACCATCATCATGAAATCCACGTGTTGTATGACTCAAACCCGGAGTTTTAAAATTGTATTCCTCTTTTTTTTTGAGGATGGAAACAGGAGTTCACTTCCTATCTAGACTCGATGGCAATTTTATGGTTAAATTAACTTGGACAACTTATCAGGAAATAAGGGGTTTAAGGTGTTAAGCAAAAATGGATGGAAATCGATGCTTAAGGCCAAAAGTCATTAATTTTTTTTGGATAAATTAAATAATACCCATATTTTTATCATTTCAGAGCAAAGTGACTGGCTTGACTGATTAAGACCAATGTAGGGATTTTAGTAATTAATAAAAAAAGATTAAGCCGATTGAAAAAAATTAATGGGAATTAATTTCTGAGGCCAAAAGTTAAT